TTTCAGTCTGCTGCACTGTTTGGATTATTCCTCAAATCCTAGAAGTGTAGCTTCTGTGTAGCTGTGATGGCAGGGTGACCATTAGGGAGGTCAGAGCACAGGCACTGACTCTGTATTTGACCTCTCAAGTGCCAGGTGAACGTATGGGCAGGATGCTCTTGGGTCTGTCCATAGCAAACTCCTCCCGGAAAAAGTCTGTCTCTCAGGCGTGCATGAGGGCCGCCGGGCCCTGATTTCATCTGGAGCCTCGGGGCACTCCGATAGTAGAAGCCATAACAGCAGCCGTCAGTGTCTGAACACAACGTTGACATGGCCCAGGCCACTTCCCTTGGTACCCCAGTCCAAGGGTGACTGACACCTCTTGGGAGAGCCTTGGATGAGAGTCCCAAATGGGTTCATGTCAGGTTGGCTTTTACTTCAAACCCAAGAGCGAGTTTGACTACTCAGGAGAACCTGGGGACGCCCTTGGCTGTGTCACTGCAAAGGTGACAGGGATCAGGGAGAGCTGTCAGCTCCCAACAGCTCAGACGCTGCTTTCCGATCACAGCGCCGGCAGCAGGCTTCCCGGCTTGTCTCAGGGCGCGATGCAGACCAGAGCTCAGATCATCTGTAGCGCTCCACGCTTTGTATTGAAGCACTCTGGTGTCTCACCCCAGAGGTGACAGAAATACACCCTGGTTCTCTGACACTGTTTCTTGTGGGACCTTTGTGTTTGTAGTAGCCGCTGTGCAAATGACGATGGTAGTGATCAGGCCCAGTTCTGCTTAACTTGTGAGCCAAAATAATGGCTGCTACTAGGCTGGAAATGGTTTTGATCTCTCCCTTGCTGGCTGTGGTGGCTGTAGGCGTGTGTCTTTTTCCAGATGGAGTCCAGCATCACCATGACTTGCGTGGATGGGAAGTGGAACAAGCAGGTGACCTGCGAGCCCGTGGACTGCGGTGTCCCAGACCAGTACCATGTCTACCCAGCCACCTTCAACTGCAGCGAGGGGACCACCTTCGGCAAGAAATGCTCCTTCACTTGCCGACCTCCTGCTCTTCTGAAAGGTATCGGAGGGTGTCTGTGCAGTGACCTGGGGATAGCTGCACGGCTAACACAGACCGTTCCTGGTAATATATGTTGCTGTTGCTGTTGTTTTAGATTTATTCATGATATTTTAAGTATGAAGAATTATGAGACTCTATGGGAAGGTTTATTTATATTAGAAGTTAAGTTCCTTTGCATCCCTCTATTACCTTCCTTTGACCTTTCCTTGATCACGGCTGGCCAGGCAGTAATGACAGTGAATATTGCTTCCATACAACCAAAACATGGAAAAGTCATGGGGATAAATCAAATTGAATTCTCTCATCTTCTTTCCCATGCCTTCTCTGTTTTCTGTGTCTGCCTCCTTTCTATGCCTCCTCCATGTATTTGGAAAGGCAAGAGAAGACTGAAAAGTCCCATGTCCCAGTGACACAGTCCCCCAACACTGTTCTTCCTAATCCACCCATCACCTCTCTCCTCTTCCACACTCATCTTGCTCTACCTCTGACCTTTCTCTCCTCTTCTTGTTTGGGACTCTCTACAATTTTTTTCCTTAAAAGTAACACACTTTGCTGCCTTCTTTCCTTTTCTCCCCCATCTTCTTCCCTGCTGCTTTTCTCCCCCATCTTCTTCCCCGCTGCTTTTCTCCTAGCATCCCCATCATCTTCTCAGCACCATCAACTCTTCTGCTCAATGGCACATTACCCTTTTTGATCTGATCCTCAGGAAACAAGAAAAGATATCATTGTTAATTTGAAGGAACATTAGGGCCATATTAACTTGTCATCTTGCAGTGGAGTAATCTTAACTGCTGTTGTCAACTCAGGTACAAATGCTGTGTAAGCTTTTTTTGTACACATGGTATCACCTTTTCTGCTGGGATTTGTTGCAAAGCCCCGAAGAGGCATGGGAAGCATTCTTCATTTCAGTGAAAGGCTATGTTGATTTCTTTATATATAACCAAATTGCTTAATTCTTTTAACTCCGACTTAGGAGGGTAACCACAAGCAGCCAACACACAGTGAAAGTTTAGACTACTCAAAGGGGAGATTTTTATCAAAGAATTCCTTTTTCCAGACACTCAGAGAGTCATCTTCAACAAGAGGTGCTTTTTCATTGAAAATGCCTGGAATTTTTTTGAGGGGGCAGTGAAAATAATTATATCCATCATAACCAACAGGAGCTTCAGCTGATGACTGCGGTGGGGGTAGCTGGTGGGATGATAACCAACCCCCAGGTCAGGGGGTGCGGCTGTGGTGTGTAGCATCACTTCACTTTTGTCCAGAAACTCTGTGAGCTGTGAGGTGAAGGCACCATTTGGTGTACAGCCATCGGTGATGACTAATAGATGTTGCCACTAAGCTCCTGGAGAATGGCGTTCGAATGACTCATGCCTAATTCAATCACTGACGTCATGACAGCCACTGTTGGTAATGTCACAGCTTATCACTTAGCAGTGGCAAGTATGATATCACCAGGGCTGGTCTGCAGAGCTGCTGCATGAGTCAGAGCAGAGGAGCATGCTGGTGCTCTAGAAAAGAGCTCCCTTCCGCACAAAATACCTCTGCAATCATCTGCAGTTGGGGAGGGGAGAGAGAAAGCCAGGGCTGATTTAATGTGGCTTCTCTTATCTTTGTGGGTAGGGCAGGAGGGCTCCTCCACATACCTTCCTGAGCCTTCCAGAGCCTTTTGTTTTCCTCTTCTTTGAATTCCAGCCTCGTGCCCCGGCTCTCTTCCTTCCCTCTCAGAGAGATGGCATTGCTTTGGGGTTAGCAGTTTGTCAGTGTTATTTTGGATAACTCCGAAGTTGGCTTGCTGTTGAAAATATGCCTTGTGGGTTGAGAAGAGTTCCTGCAGCAATGCTCGGGGATTTCAATAGAGTATTAGGGATTTTTGAAGGGTTAGTGGCTCATAGCTGTGCTTTGTTTCTTAGGAAAAGCTTATTCCTTTTCAACATACAGTATAAAATAACAAAGAATGTAAAATACACTGCGACTAGGCTACTTTTAGCTTAACCTTCTGAAATCAAGTAGGCCATAGCAGAGGCAAATAGATCTATTGTACCTTTTACCTTTGAGGTGCTGGCCAAGAAAGCTTCCTAAGGAAAACGAGTCTCTAATGAGTATGATGAATCGTATTTATCACAGTAGTCCCCAAGGACTGAGAGTCCCCAGCTGAGAATGGCTCCTCATTGTGTCGGAGTAGTGACTCTAATACTAACAGATGCTGCTCCAAAAGGCTCAAAATTGAAATAAAAAGGACAGATTCAGGGAAGAGATATAACACAGAAGCAGAATGAAGAATGTAATGGCACCAAACCCTCTGTTAATGCCGTGACTTTGGAGAGGAGGGGGTTGATGTATGAAGCATGCTTCCTTTCAGAGAAGAACAAAATAAGGAAGAGAAATACAAAAGATTACAAAGCCAGTGTGGTTTCCGCTATGCTATAGCATTTCCTGAAATAAGCTCTGTCTGCCTGTCATCTGAAAACAGAGTCCTTAATGATTTAATGCCATCATCTAGAAAGAGAAAATGCATAGGACATACACAGTTGAATTTGTCAAACCAACTGAGGTGGCTTTTGATATATTACAGGTGTAAGGACATTTAAAAAAAAAAAAATAGTCGTGCTGAACATTGTTAACTTTGCTCACTGTTCTTCTCAGGAAACAACAGCAACTTGACCTGCATGGAGGATGGGCTGTGGTCCTTTCCAGAGGCCCTGTGTGAGCTGATGTGTCGAGCACCCTCCATCGTCCCTAATGCAGATCTCCAGACTACTCGTTGCCGAGAAGATAAGCACAAAGTGGGCTCATTTTGCAAATACAAATGCAAACCAGGTTACCATGTCCCTGGATCCTCCAGAAAAGCAAGAAAGTACGTAAAAGAGTAATGCCATGCAGTCAGTATGATTCAGAAAGCCATGAGTTAAAATGGTTTTGGGAAAGGGATGGGCTGTTTGACAGACTGTGTGTGCGGTAGGGCATATCACTGAGCAATTCCTTCATGCAGCTAGCTGTGCAGTTTCAAGGGATTTAGGCACCTTAGCTCACTTCGGCTTCTTTGCAAAGCCTAACCAGTGCTCAAAAAACAGACCTTACCTTAGAAATTCCGCTTTGATATGCAGTCTGGGGAGTCCCCTTTGAAACTCTGCAGGAAGGGGTTGGTGCTATCGTATACTTTTGACTCTGCACAAACCCACTTCAAAACCAACCACAGCCCACAAGCCTGGTAAGCCTTTGGGAGACGTGTCCACGGCCGAAAGAGGAGTTAGGCTGGGCAGCTCAATGTTGGCTTTGCAAATAATCGTTATTTTTGCCCAGAGACCTCATGACGCAGATTCACAACTTGTTCCCCAAGTGTTAAAAGCTCAGGCACACCCGTCCCCTGCAACCTGCTAGCAGAGCTCAGAGGGTTTAGAGGCTCTTTGCTGACTCAGCCACTCACTAAATGGTCCTGTTTTTTTCCACACAAAAAGGCGAGCCTTTAAGATCCAGTGCACGCAAGATGGCACATGGCTGCCAGGCGCTTGCGTGCCCGTTACCTGCGACCCTCCGCCGTCCAAGTTTCACGGGCTCTACCAGTGCTCCAACGGCTTCCAGTTCAACAGCGAGTGCCGAATCAAGTGCGAAGATGATGACAATCAGTCGGTGAGTCTCTCTTATCCAAATTATCTCAACCCATACAAGTGTGGTTTTATCGTATGTTCCTTAAGGAGCCTGGTCTTGGAGGGGCCGAGTGCCCTTATGCTCTTCTGAGACCGGAGACAGAGAAATGGAGAAGGGAAATACATAATGAAAGTAGAGGGAGAGAGCTACTGTGAGGAGCCTAGAAATACTGTTTTTATGGTAAGTAGTAATGGTGTTAACTATTACCCATAGAGGACTAGCAGTGAGTGACTTACAGTTTCCAGACAGTAAGTGGCTGAAAAATTTGCCTCCGTGGCTCTGTGATCTAGCTAGAAAATAAGGAGTAATGAATGCAAGTAAGTAGGATATGAGTTACCCACACTTGTCCTGTTTGTTCATTCTGTTTTACCTTGCTTTTCTCTCCAATTCTTTTTCTCGTTATCATTATATGTATGTGTGCCATGTGATAATTTAACTTTATAGGGGATTACAACTATTCAGATGAACTGTCTCTAAACTTTCATGGCTGTGAAGGTGTCATTTGGCATCAGGGATCAGATCGTCATCTGGCATAAATCAGCGTGTTGCCTTTGCCTTCCTAGGAACTGTGTTCACTGATATGAGAAGGTCTGGCCTTTAGTATATTGTTTGAAATGCTTTGTTTTCCTCAATAGAGGTGATTATAATTTGTGAGATAAGTAACTTCTCCCAGAAGTGCTGCTGCTGCTGCTGCTGCTTAATACACTTGGGGAAGAGAAAGTGAGGATGTAGAAGCTGCTGCTGCTACACGCACTGCAGAGAGCAGCGAGTGCTCTGTCAAAGGCCTTTTAATAGCATCCCAGATCCCGAGGACATACTGAAAATGGACCAACCCTGCCCTAGGGCCAGTCTTCTGAAAGACACCTCTGATACCTGCTCCAAACGTTAAAAGCCAACTGCTGCCCCCGTTCCCTGCCGGGTTGGCCTGTGCTCTTCACGGCAGCAACAGGCAGAGCCCTGGGGTTTTGCATCAGGGCACGTGGAAAAGCTTTCCCTGTGCAAGACTTCTGTGACGTTACGGGCCTCGTGAAGTGGGAAGCTGCACACGTGGGTGCAGTTTGGGTGGGAGCTCTCGGACACGGCATCTGTGGCTTTGCGCATCTACCAACGTGCTCGGCGTGGTCAGCGTGGCCGGAGACGTGTAGTGCCAGTGCAGGGAAACCGGGGCCGCCACGGTAACGACAACGGGTGTAAGAGCTTTGTGTTTGCTTTTAAATGAGCTGGATGTGAAGAGGAGCAAGCAGTGGAGTCAGGGTTACGGCAATAATGAAGTGAGCTCTGGAAAGTGAGAGATACAGCTCTGTCTCTATGCACTGTAAGGAAGAGTATAGTGACTGTTCAGCTGCAAAAGCACCTTCAGCAAAGGAGTAGATAACATCTTGAGAAAGGGATTTGCAGGGAAAGGTATTTCCAGATATCCCAGAAAATAGACTACAGAAAAAGAGGGAGGACTCCTGGCACAAGCCAGAACCACTTGAGAGGTGTTAATTATTTAAGGATTAAACCCCACTAAGTCTCTCTCAGCTATATAAGGTGATAATGCACGTTGCATCCAAGCAAGAAACCCAGCAGGGATTTTCACAAGAGATTTTGCAGGTCAGGGAATGATGGACAGTATGTTACTATAGCAATGGATATCCTGGGATCTCAGAGGATGTTGCAGAAACTATACAATAGTACCCTCAAGCACCGCCAGCTCCAGGAACATAAATCAGGTTTCATGGCTCACCTTTAAAAATCATGCTTGAACCCTGGCGTGCAAATTGCAATGGAAGTGCACCACACTTGCTAAAACAGCAAATTGTGCTCAATTATCACTTAGCAATCTCTTCCTGAATTTGTCACCACACTGAAAGATCGTTACTCAGAGGTACATATGGCATCTCTTAATCACCAGGAACGTAATGGTCATTTAAGCAGGTACCTCCCATGGCACCAAGAGCAAGGGTCGTCCGCTTCGGAATATTGTGCACAAATCATATGAACAGTCAGACCTAAATTAATCAGTCTCTGCCAAACTGGCCCTTAGGTGAGAGTCGCCAAGCTGGATCACACCCCGAGTCCATCTGGTCCATTATCCTTTCATATGATTTTCTTATTACTTCTGGCAATGGCCAGATGTCTAGAGAAGGGGAAGCAGGTCCCGCGCAGTAGTCTGCCGATAAGACCACTTTGCATCTCACTAAACATTGTGTTTATCAACAAAGCTGAGCAAAAAAAGCGTTGGGATGTTAAGTACAAGACAAACACCGAAGGCTGCACAATCTTCCACACCGCTACCAGGGACTTGTGCCAATCCCTGTGCAACAAGGGGTGTGGGTCATAGGGAAGAGCTCCTAAAAAAAGTTGAGCAGCCCTGCTGGGATGCCAGCATAGACAACACACTAAAGGATCCCCAGAGATATCAAGCGCAATCTCCAAGGGAGGGTGGGTAGATTGCAGGCAACATGCCTGGCATGTGAAATGGGTGAGGAGAAGCAGAGATCCTGTATGGTTCTCCCACCCAGCGAGGCCCCCGCGGGAGGTTTGGAGCCCAGCCACAGCAGACATCCTCCTGTTGAATGTCCCACATTACCCCATGGCAGTTAGGCTCGCCGATCCTGCAGAACGTCTTGCGCAGAAATCCCCAATGCCATGAGGATAGATCTGACAAAAGATTGCCTGTGCGCTCCTTTGTTGTTTCTAAAGGGCATGATATTTCCCCTCGGACTTTGGTATTCATTCTTCGGTATCATACAGAGAATCTTTTCTATAAGAGAAATGTCATATTCTGTTCCTTGCCCATTCCCACACCAGAGGATTTTTTTTCTCCCTTCCACCTGCCTCTGTGCGTGCCTGTCTCGGCCCCTTTGCTTGCTGTCACTCACGGCAGCCAAGCTCTGAAGAGCACGTTCTGCCCTGCTAAGCATCCCTGCTCATGTCCCGCTTTCCTTCCTCCTTCAGATGGCCATTGGGGGATTCTTTCTTTTTCAAGACAAAGATGATGCAACTAGTTAGAAAATGGGAGGAGGGAAAAGGCAGTCTGCATTCAGCACAAACCTCTCAACAGCAAGGAAGAAGGCACATGGGGTGAATGCCCCTTTACTGCAACTGGAGTGGGTCTATTCTAAGGTAGAGAGCATGCAAGGGCCTTGTAAAGAAGGCGTTGCATTGCACAGAAGAGGCAAGTGTGTGTGTATGCAATGCAGGCTTCCTTTTTTTTTTATTCTTTGGAAGAAAACGCCTTCCTGACCCCCAGGGCTGGCAGTCCCACCCCGGGGCTCTTCGAGCTCCGGCAGAACTTTGCTCCCAGCTCGGCTCTGCCCGCTTCTCAACGCTCAGCTTGTCCGTGCTGTTGTTCTTGTGACCATCCTCGTTATCTCCTTCTTTCATTCCCAGGGCCGTGGAAGCAACGTGATTCACTGCCGGAAGGATGGCACCTGGAGCGGCTCCTTTCATCTCTGCAGGGAAATGCAGGGCCAGTGCGCACTGCCCACGCAGCTCAACAGCCACCTGAAGCTGCAGTGTGCCGGCGGCTACGGCATAGGGTTGTGGGCATCAGCCCCCGGCCCCCGGCCGTCTGCCGTGCGGGGATGCAGCTCGGGCGGGAGCGGGGCAGCAGATGAGGCAGAGGATGGGAACGAGAGGGAGGAAGGAGCCTGTGGACCTGTTCGCCCAAGTGAGAGGCTGCTACGGGAGGCTTTTCAGGGAACTGCTTTTAGGAAACACGAAGTTTTGAGAGGCCAGGCTTCATGTAACGTGCTCTGATCGCCTGCTCCTTCCAGCGCTTCCAGTTTCATGGTGTCCCTTCTTGGCCAGCTGGTTTTAATGGGCAGCCAGCAAGCCAGACTATGCCAGAGACACATCTAGTCCCCAGAAAAAGAGAGTGTACCTGCATTTGCTCTTTACACTTTTGTAACGTTCCCCTCCTTCAGCCACGCGCACACACACGTGCCCCGGCGGCTGAAAGGCAGGAAGCTGGCAGGGAAGCACAGCACCAGGACAATTCAGGTCTCTCCAGAAAGAATGTGAGACCAGCTGAGCGTCCCCTTTGGTGTGACAGTTGTTGAGGAGCTGTTGTAAGGGTATGCTTTCCCCCTTCCTGCTGGGGTGCCTGGTCGCTCTGCAAGGGGTGATGACTTCCTGCACTCAGCTTTGCTTTGTGTCACCCAGGCAGAAGGAGGGATAGGCTACACGCTGAATTGTACATGCTATATTGTATTTCCAGCCCCTCTTTTTGAGGTCTCCCTGCTGTAAGGGCTGCAACAGGAGCTGCACTGGCTGCAGCCCGCACAGACCCGCGAGGCCCCTTCCTGCAGCCCCGCTCCCAGCCCCTGCCAGCCCCCTCCTCCCTCCGCCTGTCCCTTTGAACTTGGAGAAATTTCCTCGTTGCGCGGCTCCCTCATTATATCGCAGCCGTGCGAGGGACCACGAGCCTCCTTGTGTTCCCTCCCTGGGGAGGAGAACACGACCTGGATGAGATCACCGCTCTGTAATGATGCCAATTACAGATCATATATCAAAACAATTCCGACCCGCTCCTTTCCGTAAGCGTAAATAGCGTGGCGGAGCGCAGGAGAGCGAGCGGCGAGCAGGCTGTGGCGACTCTTAATGTGGCGAGGCATTTTACCCTTGAGATGAGGTTACCTCCCGGGGCGGGCCAGGTTTTTGCAAGGGGAGAAATGCCGGTTCCTGGTTTGGAGGGGAGCATCTCGGTGCTGGAAGCAGGCGGGTCTGCAGCTGCCCAGGCAGCGGGCGCCTGCCAGCCCTCGGTCCTCGCCCAGCCCTGCCAGGGCTGTGGCCAGCAGGTGCTGGTCCCAGATGCAAGGTCCTGTGGGCCCGATCCTGGGATGGGACCACACAGCCGTCGTGGAGGTGAGGGGCTCATGGTCCCGATCCTCCATGAGAGCATGGCTCTCGCTGGAGAGGGAGGAAGAGCACAGCAGCCGTTGGCTCTTATCCTCAGCAGATGGAGACATACCACGCACTTTGTTAGCCTCGCCCAGCACCACCTTTCGAGATCAGGTTGTTGGGTTTTTCTTCTCTTCTTTGTGTTTTTGGAAGCCTGATGGATGTCTTTCCGAGAAGGCGCTCTCTGGCCACTCACTCGCAATGGGGCTGGTTTCAATGGGCCTCATCCAGCGGGTCCGTGGAGCTGCTACCACGTGCACCGGGAAAGAAAAACAAACCCCACACGCTCCCTGTTTTGCTGGCTCAACAGCCCAGGTCCGCTTTGCTCCCGCTGACTCCTCCATGTGGGAGTACGCGAGAAGGCAGAAGCAGGTGGGGAAAATAATAGCATCCAGTCGTGGTCACTATGAATCCCACACACCTTCAGTAATTCCGCAGACACCTAATCGGCCCTTCCAGGCTGAGGTGTGTGTTGAGCCAAAGGTTCAGCTCTCCAAACCAGCGCGGAGATTAATTCCTCCCCCAGCGCAGACTGGAGTGCAGAAATCCTAATGACATGTTTGCAGCAGCTGTGCCATTCAAGAGTGATTTTCCAGGGGGGAAATGGTAATGGCCCAACACACTAGGGCTTACGGTTGTGTCACCACAGGGCTCTGGGATATTGCTGCAGAGTATCGCAGCATGTTTTAATAAAGAAAGGACAGGATTCCCACTGGGCATGACAGTTAATCAGAGAAAAAGCAGGTTTATGTGTGAACAAAGCCATCATTACCTCTCTGCGTACTTCTTATCGACTGTGGGACTTAGGTGATAGCTCGCCTGCAATATCGTTAGGCTTGGTCACCCTCTGAAAGATTATTATTGAAGGTCTGTAAATTTGGCAGATCACACGGTAGGTTTTTGTCATGTCGTAGGTGAGATGAGTTCGACAGCCTCTGCTTAATCAGTCCCATTGCTTGAAAGAGCAGTTGAAATGGAAAAACCTTCACATTTTCTTGATGATCTGAAAGCGCAAAACCTGACCCCCTTCTCGGAGTTAATAGCCAGAGAAATACCTAGATACGCAGATCATACAAAAAAGCCCTGGAATGTCTGCCACCCCCACCATCTCCTGCTGAGATGCAGGGTTGTACTCAGCATTTCATGTGTGGCTAGAAGATATGTGATAGTTATGGTTGACTGCTAATTGCAATTTAGGAAAAACGAGCCCTAATCCTGTCCTTCAGCTGGAAGGATGCTTGCTTTATCCTTTAGCTTTATCCTCTCCGTGTTTCGTGCAGGCGCGGAGTGTACCACCTCATGTCTGGATCACAGTCACGAGCCCATCCTCCTGCGCGTGAACGAGACTGTGCAAGACATCCAGCACTGGATGAACCCTCAAAGAGTGAAGGTCAGTGCCCGATGATTTCGCTGTGTCCCTTGTCGCGTGTTTATGTGCAGTGAGTGAAGGGCGTTACATGTGGTTCATTCGATGAGGGGAATACGTGGGGAATTCTGCCCTTTAGAAAAGAATTCCTGATTTGTGTCGTGTCTTCGCGTGTTGTTCTGGTAACGTGGTGACTTTGTCTCCAAGTTGCTTTCTGTCTGTGATTTTCCAGTGAAAGTCAGTTGAAGGTAAAGGCCCCAAATCAGTGTGCTCAGATGCACCCAGCACCTACAGTGGTTCTGATCTGGAAACATGTTTCATCACGCCGGAAGATGTGATGGACAGTGAGAGAAAGGGCACTGGCCAGGTTTTATTGTCTTCCTCCTGTTCACTATTTTGCATTCTTTGGGTGGCAGGGCTGGATTTTTCTGCACTGCTTTTGGATGACAAAAGAAGCTGATACAGAGGGTATTTCATTTCCCAAACCAGCAGAGCTGGCTGAGTCGTCCCCCCGCCCCTTCGCCCGCATGCGAGAGATGCCTGCTCAGCACAGCCCCTTCCAGAGGTCACCACTTCCTCCTCCTGCCTGCTGCAAACCCACAGGCAGCATTAACCGCTCACGGCACTCCCTGCTCTGCGTCCTCCGGCGCACGCCGGCATCGGGCTGCCCTGGCGGGGCCACGCACGCTCATGTACGGCGCCTTGCACACACGCTCGCCCCTGCACACACGTGCCACTTGCAGCAAATAGCTGCTTGTTTCACACCTGCGCTTGGATACCAGTGGGGGACACACTCACCTGCCTCCTTCCGAAACCCCTCATGCCATCGGCGCAGATGTGCCCTCCTGCCTAGAAATGCGTGTAACCGGGCGCTTGTGCCTACGCAGTCTCTCTGCTTTATGTGGACGCGCTCAAGCGCGTGTGGGAAGACTGGCACATCGCCTGTCACCAGGGTGCGGGTTGCTGGGGGTGCTGGAGCAAGCACTGTCGGCTTTTACGTACTTGGCCTTGGCTTTGCAGGAGCCTGTTTTACACACTTGAAGTCCATTTTGGAGGCGAACAAGCAGCCAACGCAGCCCCAGCATGTCCTGAGCAGCTTTGACCGTCTGTTTGCTCTGCTACATGCCTAAATACGTACCCAGGGTTTGGGATTTTTGAAATCTAGCCTTGGCTGTGCATAGCGAGCCGCTCCAAAAATCTCTGCCACTTTTTACTTCCCTATTTCACACGGAGCAATAGAATAAATCCTGGAAAGGGGTGGGGAACCTAAGTCCAGAGAATATGACAAGCTTGCAGTGTCCTTCCCAGCTTCCCATTCACTCCAGAGGCCGAGGTTGTATTGCTGCCTAAGTCTAGGCTCTGCCAAGTTTCTGGCATGAAACATAAAGAAAAGGGCTATCTCTGCATTAGGGGCAGTTTCTCACTGGCCCTTTTCCGAGCGCTAGGCTTTAAAGTGGTTTTGTAATTCATAGTGAAATGAAGTGACAGCTTCCCTCCCGTTCTCTGCCGTGCTCCTTCGTTTATTGATGCGGGTACGCAGAGGGAGCTGTAACGAGTTTTATACCTGCGGGTCTCTGGAGGGCTCATTAGGCAGCAGGGAAAACACATAGTAGTGAAGGGGGAGATGAGGGGAGTGAGGGATGGAGGAGAAATCATGGTTTCCAAGAGTACAGTGGTAAAGACGACCTTTTTTTCCTTGATGATGAGGATCTTGCAAGAGCTTTAGGCTGTGAGCAGATACAAGTTCGATCCCATGAACAGTTTGTAACTAGAGGATGAGATCTGGGCGTGAAAACTTGTGTTGGGAGGTGGAGGGGAGCCCTCAGGAGACCAGCGGGATGGTGCTGAGACACGCTGGAGGGGACTTTTTTGCTAGCTGTGAAACATCCATCTCTCCAGATAAGGTGGCGTCATCCGTGGGGAGCGGTGCCTCGCAGGGTCCCACTGGGGGAAATGCTGCTGCTGGGGGGACCGGGGAGACCCTGGAGCGATGGGACCCGGATGCCTTAGGGGAAGGTCCCCATGGCAATGTGTTACATGTCGTTAATATTACGTGTCCTTTTTACGGTCAGCGACAGCTTGCTGTTGTGCCGTACGAGTAAAGCGAGCAGCTGGTTGCATTTACACGGCAAGTCTTTGTGGATCTCAAAGTACTTGAATGACGCAAAGGAAACACTTTCAGTTACTTAATTTCGGGCACAAGTAATGTACAAATGAGTGCAATATGAGAAGTGGATAAAGGCAGGACCGATCTCTGGAGCTTACCTTTGAGAGGATAGGCACAGATAAAACATAGGGAGAGCTGGCAAGAAAAGAAAAATAGTTGCGTGTAGCTGCTCAAGCAACAGCTGTTGTGGAAGCAAAGTGGGAAGAAGGAACCATCCCTCCTCTGGGGGTTGTTTAGAGCAGAACTGTGCAAATCACTTGATTTTTCAGTTTGCTCGAAGTTCCGTCCAATTTTTTTAAAAAAGTTTTCTCCTAATCAAAGCGAATTTTTTGTTGTTGTGATACTTGGTGAACCAAAAAATGAGAGAAAAAAACATGCTGGTTTGCACATAACTTAGCATTTCATTTCCAAGGATTTTTTTTAAACTTTTTGTTTAATCGAAATGAAAAAAACTTAGCAATTAAGTGTCCTTTCAAAGGAACAACACCACCAGATATTTCATTTTGAAAAATGTCTAAATATTACTGTGTTTTTCAGAATTGGTTTAGGCTGAGTTGCTTTGTTGGGTCTCAAATAGTTTGCCAAAATCAGTGCAAGTTGGCAGTGTCTTCCAAATCAGTATTTTCAGCAGGGAAAAAAAAAAATCACCTGAAATCTTCTGTGTCTGTTCTTCTGCAGCGGGCCGTGTTTGGAGCAACCATTGCTGTCCCCATGATTTCCCATTTACCGTGTGCGTGCAAGGGGCAGCGAGCTGTTGCAGACGCCTATAGATAGATCTGCCAAGGCTGACTATGCAGGCAGCGGAGAGAAAAAAGTGAAATGTCTCAGAAAGACAGCTTGACAGCTCTTTCCCACCGACTGCAGAGAAACAGGGCAAAACACCTAATTTCTTAGGTTGTCTGAATTTGAGTCCTTGCCTTTGTGCTGAGCAGCAACAGGCCAAATACTGTGCATGCACAGGATAGCCTTGAAAGGGTCGGCGTGCCCCGACGCTGCCTGCCAGCGGGGCTGAGTGTGGCCATGGCCCCTCCGCACGCCTGGGACGCTGCCCTACTGCTGGCGATGTGTTTTCCCATATGCACTGCAAGCCCTGGGATTACGGATGTCCAGAAGTCATTGAAGGGAATTCTCCTTAAATACTCCTGATTCACTTAAGCTTTGAAGTTTTCCTCCTTCCTTCCCCTCTCCTTTTTCTGTGAGTGTTGGGCTCATTTTGCAGGGAGGGAAACTGAGTCATGGAGCGGTGAAATGACTTACTGCAGTGCGGCGGCTCAGCGCCCGGGAAGGCAGGACTTCCCACCCCATCTGTAGCTACAGGAGGAAACAGCCACAAAGCGCCATGTCTCCCTTCCCTTGGCAGCAGCGGCCGATCCCCTCACCACCACGACATTAAGCCCACGGTTAATTGTCATGTTCATTTAGTGCCTGAGGAGAGAGTTAGCTGAGACCAGGAGATACCAGTCCCTGGGCTTTAGCCCTGGGGGACACTTGACCCATCTAAGGTGGAGGAGAGCTCTCCACCGGCCTCTCCTGGGGAAACCTAATCCCCTCTGCAGCCCGCAAATGGTTGACATCATTGTGTTAGTCCCACCATGGGAGGGAAGCGCTGTGACCGGAGGCACTAGGTCTTCCCTCACAAGGAGAAAATGACAGCTTGATTTGCTTTCTTGGCTCTTTGTTACCTACTGTGGGAGTGCATCCCAGCTTCCTCTCCCTTCGCAGCAGATGGAGTCACAGCCACCAAACCGCAGATGTAGCTGGATGGCGTTTCTGGGATGGGGACAGGACCAAAGTCAATACACCCAGCTGCGCAGCGCGGCCCGTGCGGGAGGGCAGCTGTGCTGCAGAAGCCAATGCACGAGGGGAGCCAGGGCCATGAGGGCGGCATATGTCACCACAGCGGCTTGGAGCACGTGGCGGCACAGGGAAGGGATGGGGCTTGCAGAGGCAGCGGCCAGATGGGCTTTATCCCCTGTGCACTGCCTGACATGTGTCGGATGTGGTCCTTCCATCCACCTCTTACCGCATCCTTCGTTGGCCTCGTGTAAGTCCACCTTCCTTTCTGCACGCACTGATGCCGTCGATCACGCCCTGCAGTACTGCTGCCTGTGTCCTTCCTTGCTTGTTTTTTATACGTTTGTTTATCTCAGTTTTTATACACCTTTGTGCCTGGTAGCACCGCAAGAGGCAGGAACGATGCCCAGCAACCTGAATCATCCCCAGTTTTTTAGTTCTCCAACCCAGGCTCTCCCTCTACGAACAACCTCTCTCCTGTCCCATTGCACCACACACACCACAGCAGCAGCTTGAGGGTACAGACAGGTTGGGTAGCAGGAATTCAGCATTTGGAAGACCGGCAAAGAAGAATCCGAGGCCATGGCCAAGGGCCCTTCCCAGGGCGTACTCTGCTTCCAGCTCTGCGAACGTTAGAAGGATTGAATTCAGCTGGAGTAGCTCTAATGGTGTCCGCTAGCCTAGCAAAGTATCATCTGAGTAGAGGGTGAAGTAACTGGGCCTAAGCCGTTGGCAGGTACCACTCAAGAGCAATGTGAATGTCCCACTGACCAGTGATGGATCTAGCGCAAGGTCAGCCGGCTTTCCTACGCTATGGAGAGCGGCCGGGGCTGCACGCCCTTTCCCAGGAGGCTGTCCAGCCACAGGCTGTGCTGCCTTTGGGATTGCCATGGCCTTAAGTGAGAGCTCCAAGGAGAGCATCGTCCTTGCAGAGATTTCACCTTCTGACCGTTCCTCTAAGGAAGGGTGCTGGCTTTTTAATATTGGGAGGATGAGGATAGTAGTTGGTGCGTCTTCTGCAAGGGATTGCCCTCACTTGGAAACCTCTTTTCTTAAGAGCCCGTTTCAGGGGTATGTGGCTCCTTTGTTACCTCCAAATGCTCACACACATTCACACATACCGAGAGGTTTTGTAAATAGTGATGCTTCTTACCGGTGGAATGTGAGATGCTCTTTGAAAGTGCGCTTCTACTTATTGTCTGGCTGGCCTTGAATACGGGACGCAAATGCCTGAGTTTTTCTACTTTGGTTTAATTCTTGTGTTTAAATGCTCTTGAACTGCCTCCTTTACTCTGCCCCCTTTGGGTCTGTTGACGGGCCTTGTTTATTTTGAAACCTAGAAAAGTTTCCTTTCTTTTCCCTCTGAAGTGCAATAAACAGAAGAGGGGGGAAAAAAAATCTAAAAAAAGTCACCATTTGTGGCAGGCAAGAGCCTGGAAATCTCCAGCTGTCTGTCAAGTGCGCGCTGGGGGAACGTCTGACACCGCAGGGCCCCCGCACCTTGCAGCCTCCCTCCTGGGGGATAAACAGCGTCCTCCCCCCTCGCCCGGCCGCTGCTCTGCTCACACAGACGGGCCCTGTTGCGAGGCAGGTGGGGCAAGCCGGGCTTGACTAATAGTGGAAAATCCGAGAGCATCGGAAAGATAAACAGCCCAGGTCAGATAGTATAAAAGTCCTTTTTCTAGCACGCGCCAGGTAAGCCTCAAATGACAGAAACTGTAAAAACATGCTGAGGTTCCCCTGCAGATGGCTTAAATTAGTCCTCAAATAAACAGGGGAAGGGATGGCTTGTGCGTCAGGTCTTCCCAAATGTTAATCCCTTCCTTCCCCGGGCCTCCATTCAATCTCGACCCCTGCCCTTGGGCAAGTGCCTATGTGTTCGTCTTGCCCAACTGGACATTGTAGTGTTTCATCCATGGATGATAACCCGCAACGAATGTTGTGTCTGATGTCCTGGTGAACGTACCTCCTAGACCTCCATGGTGCTGAACCACCATCTCCACTGACTGGCCAAACTTTTCATCCACTCTTAAAATCTAAGTTTCCATGTCCACAGGCAAACAACGACTGCCCTGAGTGGGTCATCATTGAGTAGGATGGTCATCATTTTTGCCCCAAACTGGGCGCCTCAGAATTTATTATAAATACAGAAATTATTATAAAGCTCATATGACGTAGCAGATGATGCTGTCCTTTCAGGGGTTATTCTGAAGGCATGTAATGGGAGGTGCTTCCATTTAAGATCTTCCATAAAGGATGGTACGAAAATGGATCTGAAAGTCCACCTTTAGCATCTTCGAGAAGCACAGATGTGATGGGTAGCAAAAGAGAACAATGTTTTGCAGTACCAAAGAAATCCCTCCGTTAATTCCTAAAATGTCTCCCCGCTGCCCAAGAGCAAGAGAGTGGACCTGTGCCTTTGCCTTTCCCTGACACGTTCTCCCACCATGAGTGAAATATTGGACATGACATTTTAGGAGAACCTTAAATATTATTTTAATCTCAAATGTTCTGTTATTGTAAGTGTCAAGTCCAACACTTCTTGTAAATACCTGGAGGACAGCCAGGTCCTGAGAGCACAGAGGTGTTAGGAGCCGAACTTCATTGGTTAAGTACAGGAGAGTCATAGGAGCCAGCACGCTGACTTTCTGTACACTGATTTCTTTGTCTTAACCTGTTTTGGTTTTTTTTTCTTCTCCCCTCCAGAGCGTTGTCTGCACGGCGGGACTCAAGTGGTACCCTCACCCTTCCCTGATTCATTGTGTCAAAGGCTGCGAGGTGAGCTTTCACGTTAGCTCAGGTGGTCCGTGCTTGCTCTCCTAAACGTTATGGTAGCAGTCACTGCAGCCACCTGGGTGGTAAAGGCTGTTTTTCAAGTGAGGCAAACAGGCTTTTGCCCTGACCATCCTGTCAAACAGACTGTGGTCTCCTGAGTCGGTTCTGACGCTTGGTGGTGTGAAATCGGTGGTTTTCCTAGAGCTGATGGTTGGGTGAGTCTCATGGGAGTTAAATGATCAAGTGGCTCAGCAGCATTGGTAGACGTCAGAATTTCCGAGGATCTGGGAATTTCTGGGAAGTTGCAGAAACTTTCAGTTGTTTTTCCTTTATTTTTACATCTTCTTAGAAGGCCAATTCTTTTCAAGGCCAGCTAGGCTTTGGGCTTTGGTTTGTGCAGATAAACTTTAGGAAAGCCAGAATGATACCACTGGGTGGACAGAACAGCTGGACAGTGAGAAGATCACACATCCCTCCACTGAACCAGAAAAAAAAAAAAAACAGAAGAATGCAGTTACATTTCAGCTGTGATACATTTTTACAGTCTTTTGTGTTATTTGAAAAAAAGCAATTATTTTGTTTCTACTGGCAAAAGTCTTTGAAAAGTCTGAGAAGTCTTAAGATGCTTCCAGTGGTTAAACAGGGCTGGGAGCACGTCTCTCTGGGTCACGGTGCTCATGCAGTTTCCGTTATGCCAACCCTTGAGAATCTCACCCACGTCAAGAAGTTAATCCTTGTGGCACCGCTGTAGGGCTGGGAAGCTTCATGCCCATTTTAGAAATGGGGTAGCTCCCAGGCAGAGGGATAGATGGCTGCTTGGGTTACATGGACAGGCAGTGGAAGAGCTGTGTCTTGACCCCACATCTCCTGACTTCTTGCGGCACTGACTGCGTGCTCAGCACCCAGTAACCCAGTTTTACGAGCACATTGAAGTTATTTGCCCGGAGTGGCAGAACATGGCGCAGAACTCCTAAATCTGACATGAAACTCTAGATCACATTGCTGTGCGACGTGATTTGTCTTGAAGTGAAAGACAGGTTTCCTTCGCATACAAATGTTGGGCCCAAGAGGGTGATAACTCTCCAACAATGTAATAGTTTCTGTCTAGTTGTTCCCTAAATGAAAAGCATTCTGCTGTCAGTGCTTTGAATGTCATAAGCCGTCTCACGCATTGCATTCATGCAGGCTGGCTAAGCGCCCCTATTCTCCAAAGAGAGCTAAAATAACATCCAGCGACCATTAAGAAATGCCATTCAGGTGCTGGTGCACCATTGGGTATCCATTCTCCTGCTGTTTCAGGACAGTTGTTACTGAGACAAACTTTGCAATGATGTAATAATTTACCAGAAGCCATTATTACAGACATGCTTTTTCTCAGCATTTTCTTCCCTTCCATCATTGTTAATTGCCAGACCCCTCTGCATCAATAGGAACTTTCTTCTTTTCATCATTCATTCAGCAGTGTCACTGCATCGCAATCTATCATCTTGGAAGGCTTTGCCCAGACAATTGATAATGGTCTCTAGCATCATTTTTAGAGCACGATGCTTCCAGGGTCCATGAACGGGCCAGCGCTTGTTCTCTGGCATTAAGATTTCAGGAGAAATGACATCTTCACCAAGCCTTTTTTCACGACTATGGAAACAGGGACTAATAAGCCAGTAGGTCAGTAGTACCGGGCCATTAAGCTGATACAACCCCTCATGTATTAACATCCTCAGCATTAGGGTGGGTTCCCTGAACAGAAGGCTGGAAGCGGGGCACTACTTTACTCTTGGCGGTCGCAGTGGTAACCCAGACTGCTGCTGCAATGTGATTTTTTGTCGCTCCCTAGTGGCAGGAACAGAGGTTTATGAGTCAGCCCCGTACTTCTCGGCCGCTAACTTGGGTGTTTCAGTAGAAAACTAGTCCCTCTGGACTACCTGTGTAGTCCTCCAAAAATCTAGGAGCACTAAGATACGCATGAAGACCTATAGCAACCTCAGCCTCCACAGCCAGGCCTTCAGGGTCTCCCAGATGAGGATTTTGGTACCCAGTCAGAATAGATGCTATTTGTTCCATTCTTCTCCTCCAAAGGACTGGCTTGCCTACTCTGTGCCAGTGTGAGTGAAAGGCAGATTCTTCCACAAGTTTCTTTTACTGATTTTCCAGTGTTCATAGGTACAGAGTGCAGGCAGAGGCATGGGAAATTAAAGGCAAGCCTTTCTTGACAAGCAGGCACGGCGAGGCAATACAAGGGAGACATGGAGAAGTCTACACAATGTCTTGGGAGGTTGGGCAAAGTTCACATTTTTGAATATGACCAGGTTGGCATAAAAATATCTCTCCATCTACTTACAAATCGTTCCCTTTTAACTCTTAGCATATTAATTAAGTTGGAAGGACGTTTGCAAGTCAAAGTCTTTGCTTGTATAAATAAGGCAATCTCTGTGGAAGTCGATGGAGTTAAGCCGGTTTACAGGGAGAGGAGCCTCACCCTGTGACTCTGATTTCCTTGTCAGCACTCGTAGTATTTGCGTGTAGCTAACCGAGTGATGCGCAATGCAGCAGTTACCTCCTGGTAGTCCTGCTCTGGTCCGATATTGCCATCATGGCCTGAAATTCCTATATTCTGATAGAAATATTTGAATTTGCAAAACATTAGCCGTAAAAGCCTGCGTTTGTACCACTCCGTAGGGTCCATTTCAATACTGAAGAGCATGGCCATGGCTCTGTCTGGGGAGGGCACGGCAAGCTCTCATTGCTGCTTCTTCAGGTATCTGTCATCAGGGAGACTCTGGTACAGCAATTGCTGCAAAATCCTCCCAGGAAACCTCCACAAACCTCCCACCTGCTCTGCAGTGATGCCTTCTTGTAGGAAAGGCCCTGGTGTGTTTTTCACAGTGCAGAATAAATGCATTTTCCAAAGAGCAGATAAAATGGGAACGGCGCCGTGAGCCTGCGCGTGTAAGAAGCGTTACAGAGATATGGCTGTGCTCTCTGCTGAGCATCCATTTTTCTGGCCTTTCAGTGCTGCTCGTACCAGGCACGGGCCTTTTTTAGCATCAGGCACAGTTTTGACTTCCAAGAAAGACTGTTGTACTTACTGACCAAAAGTAACGAAAAACCAGACTTCAAGCCTTTTCTTCAGAATCGTGATTATTATTCAGGTCCTGTGCAGCAAATAGACTAGTGACCACATTTTCTTTTTCCAAGTGATTTATGAATTTTACTTAATAGCTCTCCACAACGTCCCTCTGAATATAATAACGTCCACAGCCATTATCCCAGCTCTGAGCTGTGGAGCGGAGGGAGATTAAGTGTCATGGCCAAGGTCACAAACAGTGGTTGGAGAATGAGAACATGTGGTCCCTGTGCTGAGCTCAGACCAGTTCCATTTCTCTTTGTGATATGTTTTGTGCCCTCAATGCTGACACTTGTTGCATAGTTAGGAGAACTGGTGGAAAGTACAGATATTAAAAGCAAGCCAGTTTTGCTGCTATAGATAATCTTCTTCTTATCCTACATAGTTTTGGAAGGTTCGCTTAAAATTACCGAAAGGTGCTACAGTTTTAGATGCCTTGCTGCTGTCTCTGGGCCTAGTCAAATTAATATTCCTGAAGCAGCATCTTATGTGGGATGTGAAAAGCCAACAAGGGCTCATTTCCCTTCCATCTAGAGTCCTTTTTTTTTTTCTGTCTGCTTTGAAGGGAGAAGGGAATAATTATTTCTTGCTTTTCAGGGCAGTTGGTAAAGCTACAAACTATACAGCTCCTTCAAGTCTTCACGTTTTCCTTCTGGCATATTGTTACAGGTTTATCCATGTCCACATTCAGAGTCTTTTTCTGCTATTTCCTTTTTCAGCCTTTCATGGGGGACAACTACTGTGACTCCATCAACAACAGAGCCTTCTGCAACTATGATGGTGGGGACTGCTGTGCCTCAACAGTCAAGACCAAAAAGGTAGGGATGCTGCTTCCTCTTTTCACTGGGAATTCCTTGGTGAGTGCTGCTTTGTGCCTGGGAAAATTTTGTTTTTGCTAGAATAGGGGCAGTGCAAGGCCTCAAAAGAACCTTCAGTCTAGGCATCAGCTCACCATAGGCGCTGAGTTCTTGTTGGTTCATTCTGAAGTTCTCTCTTGATACACATGTGCATTTCCCATCATAACCTGCCTTATGCCTGTGCAAGACAGGTTCTTAAATAAAGTAGTCAGAGACGTTCATTCATTCTTATTGTAAATAAACTCTACCTTTTCTTTGCCTGTAGGCAAAGGCTGGCTCCCTCCAAAACCCTGGGGGATGTTCATCAGAAAAGCTGCACCTGCTGCTTAGGAGACCTTCACACAACACTGAGAAGGGTGTATTTGCCTGTCCCAATATCCGCCCTTAATGCTGAGAGGGGAAACTAAAGGTTAGAAGTCATTAGGAAAAGAACAGAGAGTGAAACGAAAGCATCATTGTAGGTCTGTACTTGGATCCGTGTGTACCCACATACGCATGGCTCGCTGACCATCCCATCTCCAAAAGGACAGAGTGGGACAGAGAGGGGTGTGGAGCACGGCAGCAGGGCTGAGCAGAGGTGTGAAATATCTTCTGCACGGAGACCACATAGACCAGGACCTGCAAATCTTGCAAAGGAGACAGTGGGCATTGTCAGTGGCAGAGATTTATAAAAACATTATTTAATGCAGGGAGGATGCTGTAGAAAATAAATTCCACTGTTTCTTACCACACAGCCAATGAGGGGGTGAAATGGTCATTAACTGTAAGCAGGATCCAAACAAGTGAAAGAAAGTGCTTATTCGCACAATGTGTATTTGAATGGCGGGATGCGTTGCCACAGTATTATTAAGAACAAAAATATATCTGAAGTCAGAAAGAGAATATGCATATTCGTGGAGGTTAGCTACATCAGTGGCTGTTAAACACTCTGATCTGGATGCAGTTTCTGTCTCAGGAATATTTAAACCATTGGCTTCTTGAGCCTGGGGAAGGATCCCTCCACACATCACCCTTTTTTATGCTTCTTTAACACGCAGTTCTGGCCACTGCTAGAGGCAGTGACTGGAGCAGTGGAGCTTGTGGTTTGGAGCAGTACGACATTTCCTGTGTTTCTAACCAGGATAGATTTTGAACTTGTTTCCCAAAGAAAGGAGAGAAAATTTTAGCTTCTGCGATGTGAGGTTTTTACCTTGTCTTCAAGGTTGGAGCATAGACCAGAATGAAGAAAATCTATCTATGTTAGGTATGTAATGTAGGTATTATCGATATATATATCTCGATATATATATCGATAAATAACAAAACTTGAGAACAGACAAAGGGAGCTTGGGCTCAGAATGTGACGTCAACCCGTTCGCCCATCTGAGGAAGAAGGTCCTCTCTACCACAGCTGAGGGACTGAAGACCTCTCTGCAGGGAACAGTCCTTTCTAAGACAGCTTTGGCTCGGAGGCTTCTTTTGCTTGGTTCAGCCAAAGATCTCTTACCAGTACAGCACTGTGGGCTGTCTCTGGCCCATCTGGGAGCACTGGGGAAGGGAAGTGGACATGTCTTGGCATGTGGAAGGAGTTCATTTCTCCACTGTGTAGGAGGTGCGGGAAGAGGTAGCTTTCCTAACTGCTTTTTTGGACAAATTTTCCCCTGTATTGCTGTGTTTCCTTTGCAAGTGTCCCTGCGAGCCACATGCTGGGAGGGAAGCACGGGCACGTGAGCTTCGCTGTTCCCCAAGGGTGGAGTAGGGCATGGAGAGCCCGTACAGGGCTCCCTGCTGAAACGACCACTGCAGGGACGAGCAGGGTGACAGGCAGCGGCTCGTCTTCAAGTGTCGTCTCCAAGAGATTCCTATCTCTGGCTGATTTTCCACCTCCTTGGGAGGAGCAGCCCGAGGGCAGGCACAGCTTGCTCGTTGGCCTGTGCTGGGAGGGCAGAACTGGAAGTGCCTGGTAGCTCAGCATGGCACAGGTCTCGTCCTCCTACAGCAGCCTGCCTGGGAAACTTTATCTCGCTGCCTCCAGGCTTGAGAGCAGGGGATGAAAAGTCCCAAGAGGTGCCAGAGGAATGGAAGTGAGGTGGCCGGGAGGGGACCGACCCAAACCAGCCCTATCAGGACAGGAGCTAAGGGCACAACTCATTGCTGGGATGGCGACGGGACTGAAACACAAGGGATGTGAGTGCTGAATTGAGGGGGAGAGGGATAGGATTAAGGTTTGGGAGCAGAATTTATTGCTGGGCAGAGAGTTGAGACAGAGTGGGATCTGCACAGAGTCGTGAGCCAGGCGAGTCACACTCGAAATATCTGCTGCTTCACTGCCACCCAGAAACGAAGCGACCACCCAAGAGGGGGAAAGCACTTTGTAGCCCAGTTGGTTACTGGTTTCTGTGCTAAACTGCCCGATGCAAAGGGCAAGTGGTTCAGCGAGAGGCAGCTGGTCACGCGTCTGATGCATTTTGCCCGTGGAGGGGGAGGTTTTGTTGCTTTTTGGAGATAAGTCTGCTTGTGCTGACTTCATTGGGATCTGTATCTTTGTGACCGGAGGAATTAGACTTACGCTAGTTTGTGCTTTAGAAACCCCCATCCTAGCGATCACACACTTTGAGGGCCAAACCACAGAGCCCATCACTTCCTCGGCACGCATTCAGCTTCCAAAATCCTCTCCTCTCTCCCAAAATGCCACCAACGTCCCAAGGGCTGAACAAGGCGCTCGGGAGGAGTGAGAAAACCACCTTCTCCTTGGACCTTCCGTGCCAAAAGCAAGATGCTAAGCCCCAGTTTATTACATTTATAGGGTAAAGGGGGAAATAATAACCCAGGCGGCAGGGCTGCGGCGTCAAAGCCGAAGAGGCAGCAGGCAGGACCTCTCTGCCTGCAAAGCGGCCGCTGACACCTGCGGCAGCAGCCGTGGGGCCGCGGGTCTCGGCTCTGCGAGTTATTTTCCCGTCTGAGGCCTTTGACTGGGACCAGATTTCAGGCAAGGCTGTTCAAATACAGCCCTCCCTTTGAAGAGGTTTATGAGTGGAGCGTTACAGGAGATATTCCAAAGGGAAAAACAATGAAAGGTGAGAGAAAAGGGAGCTGAATAAAAATACTCCGCATACCAAATCCTTCCAGCATAGTTTGCCACCTACTTAAAAAGGCACAGTTTTAAAATACACATTGGGTGTAAAAGCCAAAAACCTGGAGGAGACATAGGGAGGGGCGAGCCCAGCTCTGTTAATTCCAATACCAGATGAGGATGTATTTTCATACGGTTGTAGAAAGAGCAAGACACATGAAAGAGACTGCTTTGCTCCTTTTCTTTCAGGGTTACATACTATGTGGCAGATGTGTCAGTCTTTTAAAGCCTCTGCAAGTTTACCCATAAATGTCTAACATTTATGCAACACCTGTTTTTCTCCCAAAATGTCACAGGACATTTTACAAGCTTTAGATTTATCATCTTTTCACCGTTGCAGCCATTGCTGAGGTGACACATGGTTCACATTTAGCAGAACATAGCAACTCCGCACATTATTTTAGGAAAGGGCTGAAGATTAACATTGCATCATGTGAAGATTCAGGAGTTAACAGTCAAGTCAGAGCTGGCTTCAGATCTTTAATGTCCGCAAACTGTCAAGATTTAAGTTTCACTGCAATCCCGCTACCCTCCCAAAAGCACTTTCAGCTGCACGCAATGCCGTGAACCAGGCCACGTGAAAGCAAAATTATTCATCCCATATTCACTTTAATTCTGAGCCCTCTCACTTAACGTGAGATTTTGCATGCTCCTGTTTTGTTGCCCTGAAAATGCACGAGAGACTTCCATGCAGCATTTGGTTAGGCCGCGTTCTCCTTTTGCGTTTGAGCATTAGCGGCAAATGACCTTGTGCGTCTCTGCAGCGAGGGGAGAACAGAGCGGTGTGACTTATCTGACCGACTGCCGACTAATCAGCGCTGCTGCTTAGATAGGAAATAATGAGTATTTGCCCTGCACTATTCACCATCAGGCTAGAGAGCTTAAAAGAAATCATTAAAGATGTCTTTTGAATGCTACAAACGGCAGCAAATAAATTCAGTCATATTCTGGGCGTAAATTCGAGGCAACTGCAGTCGGCAAGCAGGAAACGGAGACATTCATCAGCTTAATTATTTGTTGTGCGCTAATTGATCAGCATGCCCCTGCAGCAGGCGAGAAGCCAGGGCTGGCGCAGGGACGCGCGTCCCGCGGCGCC